TGTCCCCGGTGTGTTTTGCTAGACAGGTATTCAACCAACATCACGTGATGTCTCACCCCCTTCCCAGGGTCCGCCAAGCCCATTCATGACTGCAGCTGTCACTCACGTGTAAGAGGAGAGGCTACTGTCATAGGTGGTCTTCACACCATAATTTTCCTCGTTGAACTTGAACATCTCATTTGGGTCCCAGCCATTAGACTGAAATGACAGACAACCACCTTTTCAAGCATTTTAGCCCAAATAACAGCTCAGCGAAGAACCGAACCCAAGCAAGCCAGAGCAGGACAATTACCATGTCAGATTCCAAGTCATAATCATCACTGTTGCTGTCTCCCCCTTCCCAGCGCTGTAGAACCTTCTCCTTGTGCTCTCCATTCACCTTTGAATTCATGGCGATGGCAGAATCCGTGAACTTATCTAGGGCACAGAACATAGAAGGTGGTCTGGATGCGAAGTCCCAACCTTTCCATCCTAGGCTTCAAGAGAGTCACGGGATATCATTACCTTTGGTGGCGTAGTTAAAATCTACGTTGCGGAAGTGCACAAGCATAACGTCGGCAGGCTTGAAGACCATCGTGTCCACAATATCCTCCCGCTTGGGCCCTATTGGCTGATCAGGCACCTTCTTGTGCACGGCATCCACAGCCAGCTCAAACTGCAGAAATAATCCATACATCACATGCACATTGCCCACCCTGGAACTATGCGCACAGCTGTATCACACCATTCCACGAGCCCACATCCGTAGCTATTACCAAGCAATTCTTGGCTTCTCAAAACTACAAGGAAACCAAACACTCACCTTGGAGCTCAACGTTTTAAAAATCCCTTCATAGGTGCTTCCATTTTTCACCTTCACATCACATGTAGAGCCCTGGGAAGGAAACAGGAGAATAGAAGTAACATCAAGGAAGGGAGGTTTTTCAAGCTGCAGTTCATCACACCTCTCTCTTCCCCCAGATAGCTTCACCTACTGCAGGAAGAGGAAGAGAACCAGCACAGGGGGTTAAGCACTAGATTCAGTGATTTGGATTTTACCACCTATGAATATACCATTTGGACAACTAATCAACAACATTCCTGTTTGGTTTGCAGGCAACATTTGCACATACATTCACAGAATATCTGGAATATTTCTGAAAGCACCTTTAAAGCTAAACAAAAACAAAGCAAAAAAGGAAAGAATGCTCAGGTTAGCTCAAGTCTGAGCAGGTGGTATCACAAGGTTCCCCACACCAGCAGAAAGAACTAGAAGGAATTCCTCAGAATACCATCTTTTATTGCACATTCACCCACCTGTATATCTGCCCATCAAAGTCTCCACCCTTCTAACTTATCTCATAGACTCACCACAACAGCTGTCAGGAAGTGCAGCATTCGGGAATTGTTGTAGACACCCTCAAAGACCTAAAGGTAAATAAGGGGGACACAAGGTTCATCAGAAAACTTGCAAACTTACATTCTCTTTACAAGTGGTCTAGAGCTTCCAGTTGGATGGATTCACAATCAAAAGAGCAATAAAAAACCACTTTTTAACAAACTGTACCTCACTATGAAAGCAGTAAATTAAAAGGATTT